CCACAGTAGACAGCCGTCTCTGTGCATGTGTCCTTTGGCTCCTTAGGATAATTTCAAGAAGGAGAACTATGAGGTCCTAGAAACACAGAGATCAAATCTAATCCGCCTTGCCTTCTGAGAAGGCCCCGCCGTTTGCATTGTGGTCAGGGCACCCGCGCTCCGTACCAGGTTTGTCCATCAGCTTTGCCACCCACTGCTGCTTTGTGTGTGTTGTCTTTTTTCTTTAATTTTTAGTACAGACAGTGTCACATATTTAGAGTTCTGCAACTGGCTTTTCCCACCTCACGATGCTTTCTCTCCATTTCTGCCTGCTCTTTCAAGGGTCAGACAAAAAACAAAATCCACCTACTCCAATCAAGAGTCTCTCAAGGTGTCACCCCCTACCCCAGCTGGCCAAGCTCCCAGCCCTGCTGCGATTTCTCAGTGGATGCAGGAGCAGGCAGAGGGCCAGAAAGAGCTGCCTACACGTCACCACCCAAGTGGCCGGCCCCCGGCTGTGGGGACGGCCCTGCGTGCACCGACCAGCCCGGCGCATCCTGAGCCTCGCTCATGCCTGCTCAGCACGGCCCGCTGGCAGCCAAGCCTCCGTGGGGCCTGCTGTGCTGAAGCCCAGAGAAAGGCGGCACCTAAGCCAAACCCTCCTCTCTGCCCAGGCTGCAATTTCCTGATTAGGCGCCGCAGTCACCACCCTTTCTGCACACACTGATTGCTTCCTGCCGCCCACTCACTCTCGGGGGCTCCCGAGGCTCCCGGGGACGCCAGCAGACGTCAGAGCCTCGGCCGAGCGGTGAGAAGGTGCCAGGGAGCCGGGCAGTACAAGTTCATCCCGGTAGCCACCCGCCCCTCCTCCCAGAGTCAGGCCCTGCTCAAAAGAGAACCATGGCTTGGTTCTTAAAATTCGAGAAATAGCTTTAATGAGGAAGAACCAGGCTGCTCGGAGGCAGGAGCGCAGAGGAGAGCCTGTGTGGCCTGCACCCAATACTGACTCTGCCCTTTGGTGACGGTCTTGGCCAAGTGCGTCTCTGAGTACTGGCCTGCCCACCTATGAGACGGTGACGACAATTCCTCGGAGACTGCTGCGTGGCAGTACACAGAGTGGTTAGAAGGCCAGGCACACTTGGCTATGAATTCTGGTTCTTCCCGCTGAGTTGTACAACCTTGGGTAGGTTACTTTGAACCTCAGTTTTGCCACCTATTTAATGGGAATAATGAAAACACCCAAGCGTTATTTGAAGTTATACATGTGCAAGTATGTTGTAAACAGGAATGCTAGTGAAACAAAAGGCAGTGTAGCCATGGTCAATAAAGAGAACGAGCTATACCTTTGAAACCCTGGCCTGACCTCTGTCTGGAAGCCCCTTCTCTGGCCCAGCGTCAAGTTTTGGCTCTTCATCCCAGGCCCTGCTCTCAAGCGTAAGTGTCGAGGCGGGGAGTCAGGGCACAGTGGTTCTCTGGGAATGCTGGTCGGTGGGCAGCGGGGCACCTCTGCTGTGAGGAAACCACCACACGGGTGGTGGCCAGTCCCAGTTTCCCGAGAGTTTCGGAACAGACTTTTCGTCCCCCTCTGGATCCTTCTACACTTCCCTTTTGAGACTTTGGTTTCATTTTGCAAGAAGCCAGTCACACCTGGTGCCACCACCCCCTGGCATACTCCACATAGAGGCGTCTGATCCCAGCTCAGGGCTCAGGCCATGAAAACCCCTCTTAACATCTCCCAGTTTGAGCCTGAGTGGTCTCCGTGACACAGGGTGACCTTTTAGACAACCTGAACACAGCCCAGCCTCCACATGGTCTCATCTATTCGTGGGGTTCCATTTTTAAAAGGTACAGCACAGCAAGCAAGAGCCAATTTAAGAGAATTCCAATCACTATTTGTCTCTCTCAGGGAACACCAGTGGGGACCCCATTCTCAACACACAAGGACACTTGAAATCCCCCTTCCTCCCCTCTGCAGGGCTGACGCACCGCGGTCAGAGCCACCAGCCCAGAGTCCCAGACTCCTCGGCTTTTCCTTCCTTCTTCCCTCGCTTGCCCCAGGTTCCGTGTTCTGTAGACTCAACATGACAAGGAGCCTGGTCTTTCCTTGACAACTTTCTCTCTGCTTTGCCCGTGAAACTGATTCCGCCACAGAGGAGAGCCCGGGAGCCGGCCACAGAAGCAGCAAACTTCTCTTCCCTTCCCGCTCCCCAGCTCCAGCTCGCCACCATCCTCCCATCGCCCCGCGCAAAGCCTGAGATCAAATCGAAGGCAGAGTCTGGGGAGGGGCGGCACGTGGCTGACCGAGCACAGACAGGACCCTCTGCGGCGGAGTGGGGTGCTTATGTGTGGGTAAATCGCATACCATTTCTCTCCCACCCCTGGGACGAGGATCAGAACAAGCACCCTCCTTCTGGAGTAGCCTTGCTAGGAATACTAGAACCAGCTTCTCTCTCAAGCACCTGCAGGACCAGGGAGCAGGCCCACCTAGGGCCATGCCTGGAACAGGTGGCGACGCACCAGAGCAAAACCCGACCTGTCGGAGGCCAGTCTGCTCTAGGAGTTGTCAGGTCTCCCCCACGCTGGAAGGCAGTGTCAAGGTGCACAGTTTCGTCAGATTCTAGGGGCTGTCGGCATGAACGGGAGAGCTTGTGTTGTCAGTCACTGCCCGGACCTCCACAACACAGGGATGACTTCCTCCTGGTGGAATCGAAAAGCCGTTAAAAAATCCAGGCACCTTCCCCACAGCTCCAGCCGTGGATTCTAGAAGAGCCGGGGGAGAGCCAGGGCACGACCAGGAGAAGACTTGGGCCCAGCCCCCTGCATCCCGCCATGGCCCCCCCACACACGAGGCGGGCAGGCTGGGGATGAATGAGCCATTCAGGGACAGCCCTGCAGGGTCCCAGGGCTGGGGGTGAGGAGGGCCCTGCTTTCCGCCGCCAGGCAGGGACAAGCAGAGCCACTTCTGCCTCCGACAAATCAATCGAAGGTCTTGGCCAAGCCTGTTTGAGTTGGTGAGAGCCCAAGTGGGAATTCCAATCTGCCAGTGTTTGCTCTGCAGGCGCGTAGAGCCAAACAGAAATGCCGCTCTGGGACGCCGCGCCAAGTATCCATCAGCTTGTTCTGCCAGCAGTGCGGGGCCGGCCCTGTGCACGTCACCTCCGCCCAGCTCTGCTCTGAAAGCCTTCTTCTTGTGCCCTGAAAGGCAGCCTCCTCTCCCACGCCACACCCTGCGGCCTGTGCCCAGGGCTGCCTTGCTGGGCCTGGGCCCTTGGCCGTCCAGGTCTGACACTCCACCTGCCCGCTCTGACCTAGCTCCGTCTGAAGAGCTGGTCACAGCCTCCCCAGCAGGCCCCTGGCCTCTGCGAGCTGCTGTCAGACCCACACTTCCCTCCCCACCATCCTGACGCCGGCCAGCCCCTCTCAGCCCCTGATCAGCACGGCCCCCGCAGAGCTGGAGGGCTGACAGCCAGGAAACGCAGACCGTGGGTTGACTGCCCCTTTTCTCACACGCTCACACCGAGTTTATTAGAACCTCGTAGCTGGTCAGTTTTATCATCCCACAGCACCGCAAAAGCCCCCAGCCTGGAGTCACCCCCTGACACATAAGACCCTGAGCTTCTCCCCCTGCCACAAGGGGCACAGACACCCTACCGAGTTCAGCCATCTCTGGGACATTGGCACAAAACTTTCGCCCAGGAGGTGGCCAGGCTGCACTCCCTGCCCTCAGAGGGTCCCCACAGCAGGACAATGGGTCTCACCCTATTGTTTTCATGATTCTCAACATGGCCCTGAATTTGTCAGTGGAAATGGTTTGAGCATCTTAGAAAAAAGGTGCTCTCTGCATTCAAACAATTGCTGTCACTTCCTCAGCGAAACTGGCTGGATTCCTGCCTTCCCTACACAGCCGTGAGCACCAAGAAGGCCAGGGCTAGACTGTGGGTTTCTCCCTACAGAACCCCAGCACCCGGCATAGCTCAGTAAACAGTGGATGGATGTGTGGACGCAGCCGCAAGGAAAGGCTTCTAGCTGCCCTAGTCCTGTGGCCTCAGGGGTGCCGTCACCCAGGCCTGCAGCCGTGAGCCCACCTACAGAACACTTGTCCAGCTACCGTCAACTCTACCCCATGCGCTTTCCACTAACTGACTCCCCAGTGTGGGTCTCAGGCCGTTCTGCACCCACCTATAGGTGCCCAGTCCCAGAAGCCACCTGACCCTCTGTCTGAGGTGGTACCGCCAAGGTGACGGGCTCAGGCATACTCTCCAGCAATGGGCCATGGTGGGCACTGCCAGGCCTCTGGGCTGGTCCGTCTGGAGCAAGGCAGTCACCTGGGCCCGCCTGGGCCCTCCGTCACGACTGGACCAGCATGGCACCAGGACTTTGGCAGCTCCGGTGGCCATCTGGCACAGAATGACAAAGAAATGTCCGCTTTTAGGTGAAGAACCCTAACTGACTATAGGAGGAGAGTGGCCCAAAGTGCCTGACGCTGCCACTGCGCTGGGCCCTGGTGCCAGGTGCCCTGAGATTGCCACTGGTGGCCCCCAGCCTGGCTCCACACCCAGACCTAGAACCCTGCCAGTCTCAGCTGCACCCCTGGGGCGAGCCTAGAGGAAGTCAGAGCAGACTTCCGAAAAGGTCTCTGGAGCAGTGGGTCAAAGAGAGAGATGTGGCACTGTCAGGCGGGAACACCCACATCGATCAGCCCCAGGGACCCCAGGTCGGCAGAGCCACGTAGCACAAAGGGCCACGCACCGTATGGGCCTACTGGAGGCTGTGCTAGGTCTGAAGTCCTCAGGCAGCTTCCCCAGGCCCTTGCAGCTGGGTGCAGGGAGACTAGAGCCAGTGTTGCCCCTGGATGTGGCCTCTGGCCAAAGCCAGCCCTGAGCCTCCCTCTCCCGACTCCCTAGGTCTGCCGGGTCCTGGGGATGGGGCATTCTGGGGAACCAGACTTCATGGGCGCCCACCCGGGCCCAGCCCCTAAACGTGGGGAGATGTGTAATCACAGCCACTCTGGAGAGGCCAGCTCAGGAAGCCTGTGTTTAATGGGGGCCTGTCGCAGCCTGCGGCACCCTGGGTGCCTGAGCGTCCATGCCCAGCTACAGCACGTAGATGTTCTACAAGGGCTGGCCCTCCTTCTTCTGGGGCAAGTCTTCGAGCAACAGGCCCAGCACATGCGCAGTCTCATAGTAGAGCTCTTGAAGCCTGGAAAGTGGGGCAGGACGAGAGGAGAGCTGAGGTCAGGGGCAGGCATCAGGCCACCCGGGCCCCGCCCACCACATACCTGCACCTGTGCATTCGCCCCGCCTGGCAGCTGTGGGAGCAGGGAAGAGCAAGAGACAGTGCCTGGCCACTCTTGGCCCAAAAGTAGGCGTTCCTCAACCCTTCCCATTTAGTCTCTCCTGTCTCCGAAGCCCTCCAGTGTCTTTTTATTGAGAAGCCAAGATAATCATGTCTGTCCCTGCTCAAGAGCCCACTGTAGTACCAGTGGCCCCTCTGCATGGTTTTTACATCTTTCTTGCTCCATAATGGCCCATCATAATCCCAGCTAACTGACACTGGGCACAAGCCCCAGGCCAGGTCAAGCTCAGAGCTTCACATATGCTAGTTTCATTGACTCAGCCCAGCAGCCCCTCAGGTGACAGACAGATGGGAAAAGGGCAGAGACTTGCCCAAGGTTGCACAGGAAGGTAGTGGCAGAACCAGGCCAGAGCCTCAGCTCCTGGTTTCCACCCAGTGCCCTTTCCTCCGCCCTCTGAAAAGGGGTCCGTGAGCGAGGGCCGGAGAGCTGAAGGAGCTGGCATTTCAACACGAGCCAAGGCAAGCTGGGGGGGCGGGGGGTCAGGGGAGCAGATCCCCCAGCCAAGGCCTGTCCACACAGCAGTCCGCCCCTGGGTATGCACGGAGTCTTGCATGCCCAAGTGGGGCCTCGGTCCACCCACCCTGAACATCAGCCCGCCATCCCCCTCGCTGTCCTGGGGCACCCAACACAGGCCAGCCTCAAGGAAGCCCCAGGGACCAGTGCAGGCTGGGCCAGGACTGACTTGTACATAGTAGCATCTTGGTTATCCAGAGTGGCAAAGTAGACATTGATGAAGGGTAAGCTGGTGCCAAAATCCTCCAAGACCATGGGGTCCCTGTGCCGCAGGGTTCTCTTAAATTTCTCCATCAGCTCATCGAAACTTTTGTAGTCAACATGTTTCTAGAGAGCAAAGCATAGCGAAAGAGCAATGAGGAGGAGGAGGTGACAGCCAACCTGCACCGAGATCCGGAGACGGTCCACAGAGAGCCCCAGGCAAAGGCCTGACCCTGGCCCAGGAAGAGTCTGGAGCCCAGTTGCAAGTCTGTCCCGACCCCCTCAGAGCCTGGACTCCCCTGGAGGATCCAGCTACCACTGACACGAGGACAGGTGGCGCACAAAGGAATCAGCCAGAGTCTAAGTGCAGCCCAGCATGGCCTCCCCCACCGGCAAACACCGGGCGCAATCCAGACTGTCAGACGTTCCGAGAAGAGGTGAGGACGGCGCACCAGCCTGGCGAGGGGCAGGCCCAGCATGGATGCACGGGCCCCCAGGCCCCATCACTGCCTCATGCTCCACAAGAAGGCTCCGCTTTGCTATGCTCATTCTTGTGCTGGGTTTAGAGACTCCAGCAAACAGGCCATGCGACGCCCTGCCAGAGCCTCCGAATCTTCACCCCACAAAGGACTAAGGCCATACCTGTCGGCACCGGCGTGCCCGGAGTCAGAGCCCCGGCACAGGCTGCCTGGCCCCGGAGGGGTGCTCTGCCCACGGAGGGAGATGCCGCAGCCAGGGCAGCCCGCACTCCAAGAGGCTCAGAGAAACAAAAATGCAGGGAGTAAACCTGACTCTGGAAATGCAGGAGGGAGGTACCTGCCTTACCTAAGGCCACAGACACCTGAGGCAACCTGCCCGCTAGAGGCCCCAAGGCCCCGCCTTCCCGGCCATTGGTCAGCCGCGTTGGCCTCCCCGCCACAGCGACCACCTACCTGTGACTGCATCAGCCTGCTGACCTCCTCCTGCTGCCGCCTCAGAATCGCCTGCTTCTCCTCCATGAGCGTGGTGTGGTGCTCGTGCATCAGCTCCCGCTCAAACTTCTTGATGGAGTCCTGGAGAGGGATGCTGGAGGCTGGGGCGGGTCGCCATACACACCCACCCCAGTCTTTCCTCTCCCCTAGCCTGGGCTGCCTGCCGCGCAGGCCCTCGGCAGGACCCTGCCACATGGGGCCAGCCCCACCCAAGCTGCCAAGTGCAGCTGCAGGGGCTCCCCAAGCCCCCCGTCTCGCTGTACACCCCTGCAAGGCCAGGCCAGTGTGCCGGCTCAGGGAGGAGAGTTGGCCGGGGGAGGAAAGAGCCTCTCTCGCCAGCTCCACCCCACGTTGGGACGGAGACAGAGCTTGGAGTACTCCTTGGAGACTGGCCCATGACTCCACCTGCCACACCTACCCTGACCTCCAATCCTCACGAGCACGGCCTCACCTCAGTGTGTATGATCATCACGCCCACTAGCATGCTAAGGAAGATGAAGGAGGCTAGCAAGATGAAGATGATGGTGAATGCCCGGCTCACAACAAATTCCCGTTTGTCCAACTGCTGCTGCAGGTCTGTCCAGCCATCCACCTGCCCAGGCCGGGGAGGGGATGCTGAGGGCCAAGGCCCAGAGGGATGGGCCCCCTTCTCACCTGTGCTATGGGAGTACCAGTCCAAAGGGCTCCCCCTGCCTCAGCCCCACTGAGGAGGAGGATAGTTCTGCCTCCACATCAGCCCTTCAAAAACTCTAGGCCACCGGCTCCAGCCCATGCAAGGGGGCCCGGCAAGGCCAGGCACCCCTGGGTGGACGCACTGCTGGCCAGTATGTCCTAGGCTCTCTTCTCTCAAGGCCTCCCAACCCCCCCCAAAAGATACTGCCTCTCTGCCAGGCCAACCTTGGAAAAGACCCCACTCTTTCCAGAGTCCAACAGAATCTAGACTTCTAGACTGGGGCTGGGAGTGCTTATTCTGGGTAGATGCGTGGCAGTCTATTCCCCAAAAGGCGATGGGACATGGGTTTCATTCATAAATTAATCCAAATGTATTATCATTTGAGAACTCTTTGAGAAGTTTTATGACCCTGTGAGACATATGGAAATGCTCCAAGGAGTCACCAGATTAGAGACAGAGATGGCTCCCTGTCCAGGGCACCGGCCTCTGCGTGGGGCTAGCCCCCAGCCGCCCCAGGCCAGCTAAGCATCTGCACATGGGCAAGGCCCCACGGGAGCCCCGGCATGCCCTTATGCTCATACCACCTGGGCATTCCCTGTCACCACTGTTCCCAAACACAGTACCGTGGCCAAACTGAAGAGGGTGAAGAAAGCTGCAGCCAGATTCCCCCAGTTTTCGTGGTCGCCCCTGTCTGGAACTCCAAACAGGCAGAAGCCCAAGATGGCGAAGATGTACATCAGGATGAAGAGCAGGATGAGCACGGAGGCCACGGTGTAGACTGTCTGCCCGAGGGCAGTGATGAGCCTCTGCAAGGCAGGGACGCTGCAGTCGGCAAGGGCACCGGGCGGGTGGTCTCGGAGGACAGAGGTCGGCTCTGCCTGGTTCACAGCCAGCCCCGGCACGGGTGCCACGCCTGCCGCATGGTGCATGCTCCATAAGCGTTGGCCGGTCGGATGGATGGACAGATGGATGGATGAAGTGAATCTACTGTGCCAACATGGAGTGCTGGATCAGTCCAACAGTGGCTTACCAATGTCTGGCATCTACCTTCAGCCGCCCATGGGTAGATCGTGTGTGCTGCCCCAGGACCAGGGTAGCCTCCCGTCAGCACCACCGAGCACTCCACTTGAACCCCAGCCTGGCTCCACTCTCACCCTGGGGTGTCACGCTCCTGCTTCTGAGCTGAGGGCCGGCCTTGAACGCTCTTTGCCCCAGGTCCAGGAGGACTAAAGGAGCACCCTGGGAGTGAGAACGGAGAGCACTGAGGGGAAGGTGGCTCTCCATTCCTTCTGGAGGAAGGCTGGTCTCTGTCCTGTGACCTCAGTCTTATCCCCATGAACTCGGCATTTGTTTATTTTTGCCCATTTGTTTATTACACTGCCCATCCCCGGGGAGCACAGCACATGGCTCCTCTTCACTCATTCCCTGTGCCCTGGAGTCTGGCATGTAGTAGGTCCGCCTTGCATGTTCACCTACCTAGATGTTTCACAGACATAACTATAAGGCAGGAACTCATCAACACCTAAGTGCACATACAGGAATAACATTTATCGGGCATCAGGCAGATAGGAGGGGGGAGGAGGGGATGGGTATACACATACATAATGAGTGCGATGTGCACCGTCTGGGGGGTGGACACACTTGAAGCTCTGACTCCGGGGGCGAAGGGGGGAAAAGGGCAATATACGTAACCTAAACATTTGTACACCCATAATATGCTGAAATAAAATAAATAAAAAATAATAATAATAATTTCAAGGTAGGTAGGCATTTTTATTCTTCCCATTTCAAAATTAGGAATCAGAGGCTCAGAGAAGCAAAATGTCTTGGGCAGGATCATACCTCAATACAGTGGCAGGGCTGGGACCAACTCCCAAGCCCTTTGCCCCATGACACCACTGTCAATCACTAGCAGCTCCGAGCACAGAGACTGTCTCTCAGCTTAGCACTGGGAAAGGAGGAACTTGGAGCTAAGACACAGGACAGTGAGGTTCAGACAGTCTGGGGCAAGTGCAGAAGCAGAGAGGCTACGCTGTGTGTACATTGGCTTGGCAGCTGCCTAAAAGGTGAGTGCACGCCTGATGCCCCCTCCTGTCCTTGGGGGAAGAAAGTCAGTTTTATTGGATTAATTGCAAAACAGCTGAGATGTAAAAAAAGACAAAAAACAAAATTGCCTTCCTCCCTGCTGCAGAGAGGTAAATCTCTTTCCCCAAAACTAGTGAGACTAAAGCAGTAAGTCCTCATGAGAAATGCCACAATAGCATCCCATCTGCCCATCAGGTTTGCACGGCAGGAAGTGGGGAGTGCCGCATAGCAGGACTTGACACACATGCAGAAGGGTTGAGGTGACAGGCCTGGCTGGGTCTTCCACCTCCCAGCCTGCCCAACAACCCTGAGACTGGCAGTAGAGGAAAGGTCGTGCTCTCTGGGAAGCCCCTGCAGAACCCCCAACAGCTCGTCTTTGTCAAGTTCTCAAAGCACAATCCAAGAAGGCCTTGTTAGTGTGTAGTCCAGAAAGGTGCAAAAAGGAGCAAAAAGATGAAGTCTCTGTAGACTTCAATTAATACAGATCAGCACAGAGGTGCCAGTCCCCACCTTCAGCAGCTACAGCTGCCCCTGGACAGCACACAGAGAGATGTGATCCAGGGTCCCATGGCATCCCAAAAGCCACAGTAAAGCCATAGCCAAAGTGGCTGGTGATCCCCAGGGAAGTACTGTGGATACAAGGCTCTGTTAATGACAGGAAAACCCTGAGGCCAAACATGGGGCACATGTTTGGGTACATGATGTGTCTGCATGTCCATGGTCTGGGCATGTCTCCAAGGACCAAAGGATGAGCAGAGGCCCACAGTCACCCAGCAGGCCTGGCTTGCCTGGGACACAGCCAGCCAGCAGGAAAGTTGCCTAGGGAGGAAGAATGGGGTGCCCCTGCCAGGCCCTCATCTCCAGGCCTTTGCCTTCCAGACAGGCTGCCATAGTGCAGCCAAGACAGGTGCCCTCGACAGGCAGCGAGTGCCCTCAGCCTCGCCAGGGGTCAGTCTGGGTTAATGCCCCTTCCTTCCCAGACAGAAGCTTCTCCAGCCCCTAGTCTTTTCTGCTTCTCTCCTCCCTGCATGGTCCTGTGCATCCTCCCCCTCAGCCCACTGCCCACCACCCCGTTCCCACATGACGCCCACAGTGACCTCTCTCCTGGCCTCACTCAGAAGTCCTCTCTCACCTGAGGACATCACTCCCCAGCAGCCCTCTCCATGGAGGCTGGTACTCCCCACCGCCCACAGCTCCAGGGGCCACCCCTGCACCATCCTCGGAGCCCCCACCTCCACAGGCAGAGCCTCTGGGCCAAGGCAGGGCAGGGCCAAGATTCCAGCCTTCTGCCCCTCCTCACATCTCCAAATCTCTGCCTCCAGGATCACCACCTACTACTTTCCCACCCCATCCTGCTACATCATCCTGGGGACCTCTGGCATCTTTATGAATGACCCGCCATCTCCCAGGCCTTTCTATCTGGTGACCCTGGTAGCACTCCTGGCGCGTTCCCTTGGTGCCCGACACACGGAGAAACGGGGCTGAACTTCCCAATGTCCAGCTGCTCCCTTGCTCTGAGGTGACCACCACCTGACACCAACCCAGGCACCTGCAGTCTTCTTTCCTGTCCACCTGCCGTACTCTCATCCCCACTGACGCCAACGCCAGCACGTCAGCAGTCCCGTCCCCTCCTTCTAGGGCACATTACAGCTGCGGTCCCAGCCCCTGGGCTGTAGACTGGTACGAGTCTGTGGCCTGTTGGGAACTGGGCTGCACAGCAGGAGGTGAGCAGAGGACGAGCGAGTGAAGCTTCATCTGTATCTGCAGCCGCTCCCCATCGCTGGCATCACCGCCGGAGCTGCGCCTCCTGTCAGATCAGCGGCGGCACCAGATTCTCACAGGAGCAGGAGCCCTGCTAAACCTCGCAGCGAGGGGTGTGGGTCGCGGCTCCTTGTGAGAATCCAACGCCTGGTGGTCTGAGGGGAGCTGGGGCGGTGATGCGAGTGCTGGGGAGCGGCTGCAGATGCAGGCCAGCGTCAGCAGAGAGGACTGACTGCACAGTCAATGTGACGCGCCTGACTCATCCCAAACCATCCCCCCACAACACCCTGGAAAAATTAACTTCCATGAAACTGGTTCCTGGTGCCAAAAAGGTTGGGGACCGCTGCGTTACAGGATCTGTCTCCGGCCTGTGAACAGGGCAGCCGCTCTCAGGTCTGAAACAGAGAGTGCCGTGATTTGACGTACACGTTTGAGACCACCCTGAGCCTCTGGGCTACTTCTGCTCGGGGCTTTCAGTTCCGTGGGAAGCCATTGCAGGAATCCAGGTAGAGATTGAAGGCAACAGTGATGAAAAGATGTGGACAAGTCAGTAACTGTTTAGGACGCTCTGCAACGAGGCTTTGAGAGAGAAGAGGCAAAGCGGACACTTGGATTTATGACTTGGCAACCGAGTGGGCTGGGGACCACTCCTCGCCAGGAGACGAAGTACTGGAAGAGGGGCCAGGATTTGGGATTTGAGGGTGGGGTGGGGGAGGGGCAAGTGGTGGCTTCCAGTTTACACGCACTGAGCTTGAGGAGCCTGTGAGATGTCAGGAGGTAGCTAGGTCTGAAGGTCACAGGGAGAGGTGGAGGCAAGCAAAGAACCTGGCCAGCGGAAAAGACCACCAAGAGAGAATAAGCGGAGGGAGAAGAGCCGGAGAACTCAGGAACAGTCCTGAGAAAACGGCACTTACGGGCCAGGCAAAGAAAAAATGCACCCAAGAAGTCAGGCTGGAGGAACACCAAGAGAAGGCAGTGACAAGGATGCCAAGGGAAATGGCAACTGGATTTGGGGACAAGGAGATTGTCGGCAACCTCCGAGAGGCTAATGACTCTGGAGTGGAGGGGAAGAAGCCAGGGCATAAGTGACGGACAGGCAAGTGGGGACTGGCAGTACAAACACTTTTCTCCCAAAGCCTGACCATAAGGAAAAGGAGGGGGAAGGCAGGAACGTGTTGTTTGGGAGGGGACACACACAGGCATGTGACCGCATGAGAGCGAGAAATGAATGCACATGGGTGCGTGGCAGGGGGAGCTCCCCAACATTCTCTTTCTTCTCCAGCCAGCCTGGGGGTCCCTGAGTGTGGGGCCCAGGCCCCAGGCAGCTGCCACACGGCCCTGGGCCAGAGGCAATCTCTCAGCAGGATAGGCTGACTGGTCCTGACACAAATAGGTCCAGACCAGCCCCTTCCTGGAGAAGCAAGCATCCTGGGTGCAGAGCCAGGGCAAACATACTGGTGCAGGTCAGATGCCTGAGGGCACAGCTGAGTGCCAGGGCCAGCCTTGAGGTTTGTTCTGAAACCTGAGTCTAGGAGAGACTGGTCACTCCATGACTTTCAGCAACCCAGAGAGACTTCTCAGCACAAACAGCACTTCTAGAGCTGCCTTAACAAAGTAATGAGACTATTCCCATCAAGAGAAGCAGCAGATTTTCAGCTGTTTGGGGAAAGCGGCTAGTGGCCAAGGCCACCAAAAAGCTGGAGACTCCTGGGTGTAGCTCAAAGGATCTGTAGCTGAATAAAATCTGTCACTTTGCAGTGTGGGAGAGAGGGAAAGTCCACATAGCCTATGGACTTAGACACACCATTCAAATCTCAGCTCTCACATTTAAATGCTGGGTGACCTGGGGCCTCAATTTCTGGTCTATAAAATGGAGCTAATAATACTTTTCTTACCATTGTTTCAAGATTAAATGAGATAATATTGGTAAATCGACCTGCCACATAGTAGGACTCAATAACTGGAAGATAGTAGTAGAATCATTATTTCCCCAGGGGCTGGTGGGCAGAGGGGTCGTGCAGCCGGCCCTCCCAACACCACGGCACCCCCAGGGCACTCACCCGGATGCCCCGGCTGTAGGGGATGAGCTTGAGGATGCGCAGGGACTGCATGCCGTCAGCAAAGTGCAGGTAGCGGTAGTGCTTCCCCTTGATCTTGCGGAGGATATAGGGGATAAAGATCAGGAGGATGATGATAACATCCAGCACGTTGTAGCCATTCTTCCAGTAGCCAAGGGGGTCCACATAGACTTTCATGACAAACTCAGAGCTGTAGATGGACACAAAGATGATCTCCGACATCTGCAGGGGTAGCAAGGGTTGGAGGGGTCAGACCCAGCTGCAGAGCCCTGTAGCCCTGGCCCTCTCCCTGCCTGGGCCGCCCAGCCTGGTGTGGCGAGGGGATGCTCTGAAGTCTGCCGCATGAGAGGGAAACCCAGGCAGTCGCCAGCGCATGGCAGACACTCAGTGCACCCGAATCCCTTCCCCTTCAGTGTCCTCCCTACCCGGCAGCCCTAAGCCCGGGGCCAAGTTTGACCCTGGGTGCTGGAAATGACTGAATGACAGACAGAATTACTGCATGGGCCCCGTGTATGGCAACTCAATGTGTCAGGCAGCCTAGATATAAGGCTTACCAAGAGAAGATCCCCAGAGTTTCCCGGCCAACCCGAATATATACAGTGTATAAGGAGCGTAGATGAAATACTCAAATATCTACTTCAATTTAATCTATTAATTATATATACTTAAAATCAGTTAACCAAAGTCATCTGTTTCTGAAGAATATTCTGCTCTTCTTTTCACTTTTACACCTTATGAACCAATGAGATCCTCCTGAAGCATCTGCAACTCCAATGGCTTAGCTTTTACCAGGAGGTACTTCTCAAGTCACCTGAGAGTTTTGCTATCAAGCTGACTGTCACACACGTCCATTCACTGGAACAGCTTTGACTGAGCACTGACCATGTGCCGAGCAAGCACTGTTTCAGGCACCAAAAAATGCCCAGCCCTGGGAAGCTTACAACTGAGGAAACAGAAATAAAGGAAGAGACAGCGCTTAACCAAACGCATACGGGATGCAGCATGAGGCAGGAAGGAAAATAAACTGGCCAAAGGAGATAGAGGGACCGGCCAGATCCGGGAGAAGCAGTCCTGGAAGCTATTTTAGAAAAGGTGATCAACGGAGGTAGGTCCCTCTGAAGCCAGAAATGAAGCCAAAATGCAAACTAGTAGAATGCTTCCAAGAAGTTGGGGAATGGCAAACCCAAGAGCCCCAGTGAGGGTGAAAAGGAACAGCAAAGTTAGCATGGCTGGAACAGAAAGAGGGAGAGCAGGCCAGGACATGCGGCTGGAGAGGTCGACCACGTAGGCCTGGTGAGCACTTTATAGTTTAATCTCAGCCTTGGAGGATTTTGCGCAATGGAGTGATCTGAACTGATTTACATTTTAAAGAGATCTCAACAACTTCAAACAATTCCTATACATTTTATTGTACACATGTGCGAAGCCGCTCTCAGTTAAATATCTAGGAGTGGAAATTATTGGGTTGTAGGATATGAGCATCTTCAGCTTCACTAGATTTTGATGAATTGTTTTCTGAAGTTATTGAACCAGTTTACTTTACTGTAATCAATGTTCCTATTGTTCTACATCCTTGCCAATACTTCCACTGCCAGACTTTTTTTCTTTTACATTTTTTTTTATTTCGGCATATTATGGGGGTACAAATTTTAAGGTTTCAAAAAATGTCCTTTCCTCCCCTCCCCCCCAAGTCTGAGTTTCCAGCGTGACCATCCCCCAGATGGTGCACATCTCGCCCATTATGTATGTATATACCCGACCCCCTCCCCCCTACCACCTGCCCAATACCCTATTACTGTAGTTCCTATGTGTCCACTTAAGTGCTGCTCAGTTTATACCAGTTTGCTGGTGAGTATATGTGGTGCTTGTTTTTCCATTCTTGGGATGCTTCACTTAGTAGTATGGGTTCCAGCTCTAACCAGGACAATATAAGATGTGCTATATCACCGTTTAGCACACCGTTGTTTCTTAGAGCTGAATAGTACTCCATGATAGACATATACCACATTTTATTAATCCACTCTTGGATTGATGGACACGTGGGCTGTTTCCACAGCCTTGCAATTATGAATTGTGCTGCTATAAACATTCGAGTGCAGGTGTCTTTTTTGTAGAGTGTCATTGGATCTTTTGGCTAGATGCCCAGTAATGGGATTGCTGGATCAAATGATAGATCCACTTGTATTGCTTTAAGGTATCTCCATATTGCTTTCCACAGAGGTTGAACTAGTGTGCAGTCCCACAAGCAGTGTAGGAGTGTTCCTATCTCTCACATCCATGCCAGCATTTGTTGTTTGGGGACTTTTTGATAAAGGCCATTCTCACTGGAGTTAAGTGATATCTCATTGTGGTTTTGATTTGCATTTTCCTGATAATTAGAGATGTTGAGCATTTTTTCATATGTTTGTTAGCCATTCTTCTGTCTTGTTTAGAAAAGTTTCTGTTTAAGTCCTTTGCCCACTTTTTGATAGGGTTATTTGACTTTTTCTTGCTGATTTTCGTGAGTTCTAAGTATATTCTAGTTATCAGCCCTTATCAGATGCGTAGGATGCAAATATTTTCTCACATTCTGTAGGTTGTCTGTTTACCTTCATGACTGTTTCTTTGGCTGTGCAGAAGCTTTTTAGTTTGATCATGTCCCATTGATTTATTTTTGGTGCTGCTGTGATTGCCTTTGAGGTCTTCTTTATAAATTCTTTGCCTAGGCCGATGTCTAGGAGAGTGTTTCCAACATTTTCCTCTGGAATTATAATAGTTTCATACCTTAGGTTTAAGACTGTTATCCAGTGTGAGTTAATTTTTGTGAGAGGTGAAAGGTGTGGGTCCTGCTTCAGCCTTCTACAAATGGCTATCCAGTTTTCCCAGCAGCATTTATTGAAAAGGGATTCTTTTCCCCAGTGTATGTTTTTGTCTGCTTTGTCAAAGATTAGATGGCTATATGAGGATGGTTTTATATCAGGATTCTCAGATCTGTTCCACTGGTCAATATTCCTATTTTTGTGCCAATACCATATTGATTTAATTACTACAGCTTTGTAGTATAGTTTGATATCTGGCATATTAATACCTCCCATTTTGTTTTTATTGCCTAGAATTACTTTTGATATTCGGGGTCTTCTTTGGTTCCATACAAAGCGTAAAATTATTTTTTCTATATCTGTGAAGAATGATGATGGGATTTTAATAGGTATTGCATTGAATCTATAGATCAGTTTGGGTAATATAGACATTTTAACAATGTTGAGTCTGCCGATCCACGAGCATGGTATGGATTTCCATCTGTTTACGTCCTCTGCTATTTCCTTCCTCAGTGTTTCATAGTTCTCCCTATAGAGGTCTTTTACCTCCTTGGTTAAGTATATTCCTAGGTACTTTAATTTCTTTGTTGCTATTGTGAAGGGAATTGAGCCTTTGATTTGGTTCTCAATTTGATTATTATTGGCATATATGAATGCCTCTGATTTCTGTGTATTGATTTTGTATCCTGAGACTTTACTAAATTCATTTATCAGTTCCACGAGTTTCTTGGTTGAATCTTTGGGGTTTTCTAAATATAATATCATAGCATCAGCGAACAGTGAAAGTTTGATCTCTTCTGCCCCTATTTGGATACCTTTAATTCCACTTTCCTGTCTGATTGCTGTAGCCAGGACTTCCAGCACTATGTTGAATAGAAGTGGAGATAGTGGGCAGCCTTGTCTGGTTCCAGTTCTACGTGGGAATGCTTTCAATTTTTCCCATTCAGTATGATGTTGCTATGGTCTGTCATATATGGCTTGTATCATTTTAGGTATGTCCTTCTATGCCTATTTTTTTTTTTTTTTTTTTTGAGACAGAGTCTAGCTTTCTTGCTAGGCTAGAGTGAGTGCCGTGGATCAGCTCGCTACACGCAACCTCAAACTCCTGGGCTCAAGCCATCCTCCTGCCTCAGGCTCCAAGTAGCTGGGACTACAGGCATGCGCCACCATGCCCGCTGATTTTTATATATATATATTAGTTGCCAATTAATTTCTTTCTATTTTTATGGTAGAGACCGGGTCTCGCTCAGGCTGTTTTGAACCCTGACCTTGAGCAATCCACCCGCCTCGCCTCCCAGAGTGCTAGGATTACAGGCGTGAGCCACCGCGCCCGGCCTATGCCTATTTTCTTAAGTGTTCGTATCATGAAAGGGTGTTGAATTTTGTCAAGCTTTTTCTGCACCTATTGAAAGAATCATGTGGTCTTTGTTTTTGCTTCTGTTTATGTGGTGAATTGAATTTATAGATTTACGTATGTTGAACCATCCCTGCATCCCTGGATGAAGCCACATTGGTCGTGAGGGTATTTTTTTGATAAGCGTCTGGATTCGTTAGCAGGATTTGTTGAAAATTTTTGCATCTATAG